TTTTGCAACTGTACTATAGCCCAACAGAACTCACAGTTCTCCCTTGCTATCTAATTTACCTCGTTTAGCATCAGGAACATGTGCATAGCATACCGAACGAAATACCTTCAAGTGTTTTGCAGACTACTTGATACCCTTCCATGCTTCTAATGGTGTCATGTCTTGGACTGCTCTAGTTGGTAATCTATTTAGCAAATAGACAGCGGTATTGACTGCTTCAGCCCAAAAGTATTTAGGCATCTTCTTTTCTGCCAACATGCATCTCGCCATCTCCATCACAGTTCTGTTCTTTCTCTCAGAAACCCCGTTCTGCTGTGGAGTGTAGCTAACAATGAATTGTTGTTGGATACCCAAATCTTTACTACACTTGCTGAACTGATACAAAGTATATTCAGTTCCATTATCGGATCTAATATACTTCAATTTACAACCACTCTCCCTTTCTACCATAGCTTTGAATTATTTGAAAATAGAGAACACTTGATATTTGCTACTAAGAAAGTAGACCCATGTCATTCGAGTCAGATCATCTATAAAGAGAACAAAATACTTGTTTCCACTCAAAGAAGCCATCCACATTGGTCCACATAAATCTGTATGAACCAACTCTAGCTTTTCCTTAGCTCTACAAAGACTTCCTTTATGAAAGGATCGTCTATGCATTTTACCAAATTGACATGACTCACAAACATCTCTACACATGTCAATTTTGGGTACTTCAAGCACCATACCCTTTGATTGTATATACACCAGTGAGCTAAGATTATAATGACCGAACCTTTTGTGCCAAAGCCAAGTATCGCTCATTTCAACATTAAAAGAGCAAGCATCAATAAAATAGCATGAAATTGGAAAGGAATTGTCGATCATGCTTATTTTAGCTACTTCACATCCTTTAGGATTGTAAATGACACATTGTTTTTCCTTAAAATTAAGAGAATAATTTTTATGAAGCAATTGAGAAACACTTAGCAAGTTTTGAGTCAAATTTGGCACATAAAGAACATCATTAATAATTTTTGTACCTTCGTCAGTAGGAAATTTTACTAACCCTCTACCGTGAGTTTCCACCAATGCGCCATTTCCAACCTTCACTTTGGTTCTATCAGATCTATCTAAGGTAACAAACATATTTTCATCAATTGCCATGTGCCTTGTGCACGCGCTATCAACATACTATTTACATTGGTCAATATGTGATGTGTGCGAGGCAATGAAAACCTCCTCCTCTGATTTTTCCAACTTCGTGATCATCTGCGAAATTCACTCGATGGGAAGACTGGCCACTTTGATTTTGCTTTTGCCTACAATACATCTCAATGTTGAAATGACCCAAAAAGTTCTTAAAAATGTGCTTCGAAAGTTACCGGAAACTTGTTTAGCTATATATATAAAAAAATCCGTTTCATTTTTCAAAAATCCGACTTCATATTCTTGTTTAGGGGGTCAAATTGAGTGGGAAATGGGTCTAACCCAAATTTTAGAGCAACCGTATCAAAATCCAAAATTTCCAAGTGAAGCCTTTTTCGAGGGTCTAATTTGGAGGGTCATATCTCCTAGCACACAAATTATTGGGTGGCCAATAACATATCCATGGAAAGCCCTTTGAGTTAGCTACCTAACACACTTTGTTTCACCTCATTCGGAGTTCGGACGAAGAAGTTATGCCCATTTTCGTAAAATCTGTCCGGCAGGAAAGGCAATTTCCAGTGAGCGTTTTTACTGTTCACCCGCCTCATTTTTTTTTCTAAGTGTTGGACCATTTTTCCAAATAGCATATGTTATTTCCTATATACCATTAGTTCAATTCCCATCTCTAAAACATTTCCCAAAACACCTCTCGCATACTTAGACACATTTTCTCTCAAGTTCTCTCAAGAACCCTAATCCAAAACATTCCTTAAGATTGAAGAGACTCTTGCTCCAAGTTCCAAGCTTCCATTGAAGACACTCTCAAGACCTTCATAAAAACTCAAGGTATGTGGTGTTGAACTCATGGGTCCTTCCACCCATAGTGCCTAGACTCTATTCTACTCACTAATTCATGGTTTAAGTTAAGATTCATAAATTAGTCTTGTTCTTTATAATAATTTCTTGCACATTGAATTTTAAACATGAAAAGTGATTGTTTTGAGCATGTTGTGACTCTAGAACTTGAACCTAAATTTGGAATGGATGTGGAGATTTTCATGTGGTATTGTGGGTGTTAAAAAGGTGTTGTTGTAGGTTGTTCACTGGTTTGGCTGCATAATTACTACCCTATTTTCCATGCTCTTTGATTCCATTACATGCCTTCAAGGTGTTTGACAAAATGTCCAACTATGGAGAATTGATGAATCGATGCTTTAAAGCTTGAGTTATGAGATGTATGGAAATCCAGAGATGTGTTGATGACAAACTAAGCTTGTGTATATGTTCATTCCATACGTGAGATTGCATTAGAGCCTAATGGGAATTTCCTATATAAAGTGTTGCATGACCATGCCCGGTCCGGGGGAAATGAACCGGACAACCATGTGAGAGGTTTATATCTCACCACCTAGAATGCTTGGGGTGTGACCAACATCAACCATGTGAGAGGTTTATATCTCACCACCTAGGATGCTTGGGGTGTGACCAACATCAACCATGTGAGAGGTTTATATCTCACCACCTAGGATGCTTGGGGTGTGACCAACATCAACCATGTGAGGGGTTTATACCTTGCCACCAGGGTGTCCGGGTGTGAACGGCATCCCCCATCCTAAGTTGGGGTTATAGATTGGTTGGATCATGCATACACATATGATATCTACTATTAGTATAGATTTACTTAAACATGTTTTGACTTCACTTTGATCATGCATCCTCATATTGTTATTCATAATGCCTATGAAACTATTTCTTGTATTTCGATTGTGTCCTTGTCTATTGTTGTGTTGCACCCCGCATACTTAGTACATTCCAAGTACTAACACATATTTTGCCTACATGATGTCACCATGTAGGGACCGGAGCTACTCTTCATCCTTCTCTCCATTCACGTGGCTAGTACGGTGCTTATCCGAGTTGTTGGTGAGTCCTCAATGATTCGAGGGCTATGTTATGTTTCCTACTCCTATGTTTTGAGACTTTAGCTCGCAATTGTATTTTGACTATGAAGGGAGCCGGTAGTATGTCATGGCCCCGTCCTATCTATGTATGTAGAGGTGTGCGTTGGACAAGTATTTTGTAAATGAGTTTGACTCTTGTTCTATGATGTCATTTTGAAATGGTTTGCTCTTAGTCCCTATTTCCCGTTAATTAATGTTGAATGTACTTTCGCGACCGATGAAGTGTGATGACAAGTTTGAGAGGCTTGTTTGGGATTCCTTCGGGTTCCTCATTCGCCATGTCACGTCTAGGCCCTAGGCTTGGGTCGTGACAAATGTGACCATACTTCTTACAATATCTACATTGAATTGGAGGCCTCTTTGAATTCTGCCAATAATTCTTTTCTAATTGGTTTGTCTTCTTACAAATGCCACAAGGTGGAAATTTTCCTTTTATTGACAAATCACCTTGGCTTCCACCAGATTTTACCTCTCCAGATTTATCCAACAAGATTTTCTACTTTCCTTTTGGTGTATGCATTTATGCCTCGCTTGAAAGGCATCTTTTACTATACCTTCACTTCTCATAGTGACCCGTTGCTCTTGGACTTGCAATTTGGAAATTAGTTCGGCTATTGTAAGAGTAGTCAATCAACAAGACTCTTCAATAGCTGAGATTTGTAATTCAAACTTGTCTGGAAGGTTGACCAAGATCTTCTCTACAACTTTCTGATCTGGAAAGGTTTCACCAAGTATTCTTATCTGGTTCACAATCTCCATCAGCTTTGAAGAGTATTCTTTCACACTATTTGAGTCTTTCATCTTCAAAAGCTCAAACTCTCTCTTCAATGCTAAGGGTCTAACAGACTTTATTCTAATGCAACCTTCAAACTCATCCTTTAACTTATCCCAAGCCTCTTTGGCTGTTTCACAAGTCATAATCCTTGTAAACATCACGTTCGTAAGACTTGAATGTATGTAGGTGAGAGCTCGTGGGGATCTAGTCACCAACTCATCATACTTCTTAATTTCATTGAGAGTTGCATTAACTCTCAATGGCTGGACAACAGGTTCTCCAAGTTCAACAACTTCCCATAAGTGGAGAGCCTTTAGATAAGCCTTCATTTTGATTGCCCATATGTGATAATTCTCTCCGTTAAAATTTGGAGGACCTGTCGTTTGTTGATTTTCAGGTGCCATGAATTTTTTTCAGCAAGCAAATTCAAGAAAGAACAGAAAGTAGATGAGTGAAACAAATAAAATTTGATTCAGATACCTTAGGAAATAAGCTCTGATACCATGTTACATTGAAAGGAAAAAGAACTTCAGGTCTACAAGTGTAAACTGTAGGAAATAGCAGCTGTAAATTGCTACAGAAAATCTTAAAGTGAAGAAGAAGGCTTAAGTTTTCTTGAGTTTAACTTTTTTTTACTCGATGTTTCATTACATATGGTGTATTTATGGATAAAGTGTGAGAATTGCAACCACATAATAAGCAAAATATCTCACACCAAACTATGTACCTATGTGGCTCACTAACCACCACTCATTTTAAATCAAGACTAACATATCTACTACAAAATATCTCCAACCTAGGAGTTTCTAGACAATTCTTACTTTTCTAACATATCTAATACAAAATATCTCCAACCTAGGAGTTTCTAGACAAATATTACTTTTCTAACATATATAATACAAAATATCTCCAATCTAGGAGTTTCTAGACAAATCGTAATTTTCTAACAAACCACGACTCTTACATACTTTGTTATGATCACCTCATTTCCCTATTTAGACTCTAAAGTTCTTTCCAACAAATATCTGACCAAATTGCCAAAGTGATGGGGCTATGTTCCACGAGGTAGATTTGTGTTTATCGCTAGCTGTGACCCTGAATGACATCGACTGACCAACCAAAACGGAGTTGGTTTACCAGCTCTGACCCCAAATACGACTCAACGTTATCCAGTTAGTCCTCGTACCCTTCACAATAACCTTTGTAATGTCACCTGCACCCACGATATTCGTGACTAAAACCAAGTTGAAGTAACTAAAACCATTGATAGTGAACCTTATTCCACCTTGCTTCCTACATGGCACCCTGCATAAACAAATTACAAACGACTTTTAACTTCTATACACTGACACTATAAAAGAACATGTACACTATCGCGTTTACACTCAATTGTGAAAGTAAATTGTACCTAATGTGAACGTGTATAAATGGTCATTGTGTTGTAGAATTTAAATCCTATGTTACCATGAAACATGGACCGTTAATTGTTGGAATTCAACCTTCTTCTCCACCATTTTCTCAATCATTGATAGCATGTTCTAATTTCACAAGAGAGAAGATGAAGATGTCTGATCATATCTTGTTTGAGAAAAACAAATGGGCCAAGAGTGATATTGAGTCGCAGAAGAAGACACGGCTGGGCTCGGCTTGGAATTAGACAAATAATGTATAGGTTAAGATTTATTTAATTTTCCACACTTGTATAAATACAGGATTCTTTATGCAGTAAATACACATGAGAAAATTTTCTATACGACCTTCAATTTTTAGATGGTATCAGATCAGTGAGAATTTTCTATCATTCTAATTCACATCAATGGGCGACAATTCAAACCTAGGTGCAACTGCTGCTAGTAGCATATCTTCAATTAATTCAAATCATCCTCTCTATCTTCATGCTTCTAATTATCTCGGACTGACCTTGGTCAATAGTCTATTCGATGGTAAAGGCTATCAGGGGTGGAACAGATCCATAATCATAGCACTATCGACAAAGAATAAAGTAGGTTTTATCAATGGTACTCTTGTCATTCCAACATCAGGTTCTTGAGATTTGCAACCTTGGCATAGAGCCAATGACATGGTGACTTCCTGGCTCTTGAATTCTCTGTCAAAAGAAATTGCTGACAGTGTCATCTATTCAAGAGCGACTCATAAATTGTGGACTAGCTTGGAGCACAGGTTTGGCAAGAACAATGGTACAAAGTTGTTTCATCTATAGAAGGAGTTGAGTAGGCCATCACAAGGAAAAATCATTATTTCTACATATTTTACGAAACTGAAGAAGTTGTGGGATGAGCTTGATTCCATCAACTCGAATGTTAAGTGCATTTGTGTTTGCTCTTGTGAAGGAAAACAGAAACTCCAAAAATCTTTGGAAGATGAGAGACTTATGCAGTTTCTCATGGGTTTAAATGACACTTATGCACAGGCTAGGGGAATATTTTGATGGTAAACCCCTTACCAAGTATCAACCATGCCTACTCTTTGATTTTGCAAGATGAGAATCAGAGAGAGACTTATCTCAGTCCTCATCTTTCATCTGATTCTTCTTCTTCTTTCATGATGGGTAATACTAATCAATACAAACATGAAAAGCAAGCACAAAGGTATCCAACACCTTCACAAAGATTTGGGATCTCACAATCAAGAAATATCACTTCCTAAGAGCCACAAAGGTTCCAGAAATAACAAAATCAATTTCAGAAATTCAAAGGAAAAAGGGCTAAGTATGATCCTAATGTTACCTGCACATATTGTGGAAAAATAGGCCATGAAGAGGATAATTGTTTTAGAAAAATAGGTTTTCCAGAAGACTTTGTGTTCACAAATGATAAAGAAATGCAGGGACATATTAGGGGAAATTGAGCATTGATTACTGAAGACAATGAAGGAAGAAACAATGATCAAACATATGTCACAAATGTTGCTCACAATTACAACAAAGAACAATACAATTAATTTCTTCATATGTTTAGACAAATGAAAATGGAGGAGACATCATAGAAAAGCATAGGTTCTGAGATCAACAGTAATGTTGTGGCTTCTTGGATCTTGTTTTTCTGTTATTCATTCTAGCACTTGGATCATCGATTCAGGTGCATCTGAACACGTGCTATAATCCCCAATGTTTTACCTCCATATCCCTTATAAAATTCCCCTTGACCATTAATCTTCCTAATTGTCAAATCATTCAAGTCACTCATTCAGGAATTGTGCCTATATTTTCTGATTCATTTTACAAAGTGTTTTGTATGTTCCCAGTTTCAAGTTCAATCTCATGTCTGTTCATAAATTCCGTGTTCAATTTCCTTACACACTATTTTTTACATCACATGAATGAGTGTTTCAGGACTCTTGAATGAGGAGGGGTCAAGTTTTTGGTGAAACGAAGGAGGGTCTCTACTTGCTACAACCCAGTCCTTAGAAGTGTAGTTCTTTTTTTAGCAATAATGTTTCAGTTTCACCACATACTATATTTAGTGGATCTAGTCTTTTATCTTTACCTATTTTAGTTCTTGTTGAATCAGTTTCAGTTTCTCATTATGTATATACAAGTGCAACTTCTAATGTAAAATTGTGGGACATTAGATTGGGGCATTTGCCTTACTCTTCAATGAAATATGTCAGTTTCCTTTCTTTTCTGAGTAATTATGACTATATTTGTGATGTGTGTCCTAAAGCTAGGCAATCCAAGCTACCCTTTCCCATTAGTCAAATTTCTAGCAAATCTGTTTTTGATCTTATCCATGTTGATACTTGGGGACCTTATAAAGTAGCTACTCATAATCATTATAGGTATTTTTTGACTATTGTTGATGATTTTAGTAGAGCTACTTGGACTTGTTGGCTACAAAGAGCAATGCATTCATAGTCTTGCAAAGTTATTTACAAATGCTGGAAAGACAGTTCAATGCGAATGTTAAAGTCATTAGATCGGATATTGCCTTAGAACTAGGAAAGAATGAAGCGGGTTCTCGATTCTTTAGTTCTCATGGGATTGTGCATCAGACCTCTTGTGTGGCCACTCCACAACAAAATAGGATAGTGGAGAGAAAATATAGACACTTACTAGAGCTTGCAATGGCTTTATTATTTCAATCTCATGTTCCTATCGTTTACTGGGGAGAGTCCATCCTTACAACCACTTATGTGATTAACAGGTTACCTTCTAAGGTGCTCAAAGGAAAAACACCTTATGACATCATATTTGGGAAGTGACCATCTTATCATACTTTGAAGTGTTTTGGATGTTTATGCTATGATAACACTTTAACTCATGGCAGGGATAAGTTTCAACCTAGAGCTATGAAGTGTGTTTTCCTAGGTTATCCTAGTGATAAAAAAAGGTACAAGTTACTGAATCCTGAAAATAAAAGGATATTTATATCCAGAGATGTTCATTTCTTTGAGCATATTTTTCCCTTTGTGGATAAATCTGATGACATTCCTTCTTCTATATTTCCAGATTATGCCAATTTATCTACTGATCAGCCTGATTCTCAAACTGATCTCAATCCTCATACCATTCCATCTACTAGTTCCTCTTCTTCACCAGATCATCCATTCACTTCATCATCACCTGATTCAACTCCTACTCAGATTTCCCCTCGGATCAACTCACTCTCATATTTTATCCCCTGATCCTCCCATTAATAATCCCAGAAGATCTCACAGAATAAAGGAATTTTACTGTCACATCTTCAAGATTATTATTGCAACACCATTTTTCAGTGATGTGACAAACTCCGGTTTTGACACTCCTACTAAACCTAGTGTTATTTCTTTTCATGCTCTTTCTCTTTCTAATAAATCTATCATACAGTCAGTTTCTACAATCACTGAGCCCACCAGTTATAAAGAAGCTTTTACTCATCCAGGTTGGAGGAAGGCTATGGATGATGAAATGGAGGCTTTACAAGCAAATCATACATGGGACTTAGTTGCTTTACCTCTGGGTAGACATGCTTTACCTTGCAAGTGGGTTTACAAGGTGAAGCAACATGCTAATGGGACACTTGAGAGGCTGAAAGCAAGGTTGGTGATCAGGGGTGATATAAAGAAAGAAGGGATAGATTTCAATAAGACTTTTTCCCCGGTGGTCAAAATGACCACTATCAGATGTTTTCTAGCCATTGCAGCCAAGAAGAATTGGGAAATTTCTCAATTTGATGTAAACAATGCCTTCTTGCAGGGAGATTTGCAAGAAGAAGTTTACATGAAGTTCCCAATTTGTGTTGATCCTCCTAAAGCTAGTTTGGTTTGCAAGTTACAAAAGTTTATATATGACCTCAAGTAAGCCTCTAGGCAATGATATGTCAGACTTGCAGGGGCCCTCAGTTTCAAAGGTTTTATTGCCACTTTGATTGATTATTCTCTTTTCTTTAAGAAAGTAGGGGATACTATTGCTATTGTGGCTGTTTATGTGATGATATATTGATAACTGGAGATGATTACACTGTGATAGAGGATCTAAATGTCTTTCTTAATTTAGAATTTAAGATCAAGAGTCTTGGGTCCCTGCATTACTTTCTTGGTATGGAAATCTTAAGGGACAATCATGGTTTGATAGTCAGTCAAAAGAAATATACCTCTGATTTGTTGTGCAAATTTGATGTCTCACATCTTTCTCCAGTTGCCCCTCTATTGGATCCTGCAATGAAATTTGTCACAAAATCAGTAGAGTATATGGAAGAACAACCTTATATCGGCACATCATTGGTAAGTTGAATTACTTAACTCATACACGACCGAATATATGTCATGTAGTTTTGATTCTCGGTCAATTTATGCAAAAACCAAGTCTTGATCACTATCATGGAGCTTTGAGGGTTGTAAGCTTTTTGAAACAATATCCGTATCAGGGTCTATTCTTTTCTTCTTCTCCATCCTTTTTCCTTAATGCTTTTTGTGATGCGGATTGGGCTTCGTGTAGAGACTCACCCAGATCTATCAGTGGTTTTTTCATTAGTTTAGGGGGTTCCCCCATTTCTTGGAAGTCCAATAAACAAATCTCTATATCCCTCTCTTCCACAGAGGTGGAGTATCGATCGATGCGTCGATTGGTGGCTGAATTAACCTGACTTGATTATTGGATGATCTCTCTGTTCCGCCTCAACTTCTTGTACCTGTACACTCTGATAGTGCTGCTGCCATTCATATCGCACGAAATCCAGTCTTTCATGAGCAGACAAAGCACGCTGAGTTGGATTGTCATTTTGTTCGTCAACAATACTTGTTACGGCTCATTTCCATATCTTTTATTCCTTCCAAAGAGCAACTCGCTGACATATTCACTAAGCCTC